GGCAGTATCGCCTTCTTCAGAGCCTGGAAGGGTTTACTGACATACAATTTACTAGGCCAAACGCTTCAATAACACTAACAAAAAGAAGAAAAACTCTGTGGCAACTACATGTTCAACAGCTTCTCGAAAGCCCACCGTTTTTTACATTACTTCTACCGAGGAGGAACAGCTGATAAGAGTTACATATGGTTCATGACTGCATCGCCCCAGATCACAAATCGATGCGAAAATATGGGGCCAGGTGGCCTGTGATCTATGGACATTCCTCGCTGTTATCCATTGTAGGTTCTTGGTATCTATCCAAAAAGCCTCAAGAAGTTTGCGCGTTGGTGTTTTAGTCTCCTATGTTAGGGTAGTGGCTTTCACATTGAAATCATCTCCGCGATGTTTTTGTATCCTAAGCGTCCCTAGTGGGGTGCTTAGTCTTGCTCTTCGTTTGCCATCTAGGTGTCCTTTTATACGGAGACATGAAGGTCTACCCGTTTCGCGAATATATTCATCTCTGCAAGTATTACAAGAGATCGGATATATCGTACCTGAACTCATGCAGTCACTGTTGTCCCTGCCATAATGGCGAATTACGTAACTTGGTGTTTCACAAAGACGGTCATACAGGCGGTTACCAACTAACTGACGACGTAGAGTATCAGGTAGTATTTCAGCTAACGCTACCGATTTCTCTAGATCTGCCCTTCTTAAGCATTGCTTTATAGATACACTTACTTCGCTTATAAAGGGCAGCATAGATTGGACTTTCTTTTGGCCAAGTGTTTCGCTTTGGCGCCTTGCTCACCTTCTAAACTTCTACTTTAGACATAAACGCAATGGCACGGCTTGGTGCCAATCGCTGTCCCATTGCCAACCCCCCTTATTTGCGCGAAATATTTCTCTGACCATCTGAAAATCGAGCAGTTTCGGCACCTCTTCAAGAGAGCCATTGGCTGCTGGATGGTCAAGCCATGCATATTTATTCTTCCATTGTGTTCAACAAGAAGTTCGAAGATGGCTTGCATTGCGAATTCATTCGTTACGTTGGTGTAGAGCGCTGGAACGTCGAAAGATTCTACCACGTACGCGTTGTTAAGAGACCCGTTACAAAGACGTTCTAGGAATATTTGGGTGTTCATCAGGTGAGCCGGAATATGATTAAGCAATTAGGTAAGTATTTAGCTTAGAAACCATGTTACTCTTTCCGTTGGCCCGTTTACGCAGCTGATGATGTGTCCGACTTTGAATAATTTTGGGTTGGTAGACGCAAGATCATCAGCTGATACTAGCCTATGTATTTTAATAAGTAAGTATAAAACGGGACATGTTGGTCTATCTATTTTATAATGGGAAATACTGACGGTATTAAGCCCTTCGCCTTTGCCACTTTGATCGATTCGTTGTTAAGTTTTCGGTATTGTCTTTTGTATTCCTTTTCAGATGATGGGCGGTAAATGGTAGCATCACTAAGATGCTAAAACAATAAATATTTTAAACGCTCATTTAGTTCTGAACACGCTGCAATTATGAAATTATGCTGTAGATATTATATGTTGCTTTTCCGAAAAAAAAATGCTCGAGAAAAAAAGTGGAATATTAATGTATAATTTTTTAATGATTCCACCACTTCCCGCATTCGATTCGTTACCTCGTATGCATCATCCGCGAAGGTCTTCCAACGCTTTACGTCAGGGTTTGCCTGTTGCTTAAGGATTTTCCTTTCGTCATGAATGTCGTTGAATGCTGGTCGAGTCAACTCTTCCTGGAGTCTTGAAATAGCCTCGTTAGAGCGTTCCCACTTGGATTGCAAAGAGTGGACTTTTCCTAGACAAGTCTGATGCCATCGTGATAACCGCCATCACAAACACTGTGCTATGCTCTGCTAAAATAGAAATAACTTACGGAAATAATTTTTCTCTACATTTTTCTTCTGGTTATGGTTTTTATTTAATCTCCATACCTGTTAACGACTATTTTTTCCGCTTCAAAATTATCTCCACTTTGTTCATTTTAGTGAAAGCATTTTTTGAACGAAATTTCATACTAGAACGTTTCCAAAAAGAAAACTCCAAATCGCAAAAAATTTGTCGAAAATGGAAGCTGAAATTTTTGCGCTTATCTTCGTTTTAAACATGATTTTACTCTTAAGTACAAATTTTTGGCACGTTAATATGTGACATATTTACTGTGCATTTTAATAGATTGCTTTCTGCAATAGTAATACATAGAGGGCGGATAGCATAGTGGCAATAATGCCGGTCATCACGAGCATGGTGCTAGTTCGATTCCGCACCGGTTCAACCAAGCACTTCATTCCTTCAGGGTCGGGAAATTGGTAGCGGACTTGCCTGGGAAAAAGTTACTCTCTGTAATTGAACTGGGAACGCTCCAGCCCGGCTATCTCAGGACTCCAGCGAGAATTGCTTGACCAGAATTCTACGACATTCACGATGAAATGGAAATACTCAAGCAGCAACCGAAACCTCACGTAAAAGATGGAAGATCTTCGTGGACAATGGATGCGATGAAACGAATCGAATGTGGGAAGTGCTGGGATTTCCACAGCAGACGTGAAGAGGGTTCATATAAAATAAAAAAAATAGCAATGTATTTAATGTGTGTTTTGAATAGATCTCTTTCTTACCATCTTTTTTCCCAGATCTAAGAGCGTTATGAAATCGATGTGAATAGGATTTTTGTTTTCTCAGACCGGTCTTCTTACCTTCCATTTTTTTTCCAACTTACAATTATTTATTAACTTTAGAATGAAAACAAAAGAAAAGGTTTAGAAGAGATTGTCCGGACATCGATCGACTTTCCCAAAAATTCCGTTCCTAAATGTGTTTAAGCAAAAGCTTTTAACTAGTTGAAAGTTAATAGAAATCGTCTAAGTGACTTCCACTTTGTTTTTATACGCTTTTATTTGGCAGAGGGAAAAGTGCGGGTATTCTGTTCTTATCACTAATCATTACTTTGTACGTTACGTGCATTATTCATTACTTTGAGGGCAAAGGAAAAGGGTGAGGAGTTTTCCTCATTTTTATTCACCACTTTTATAAATAAAGTAAGCCCACCATAAAATAACTTTTAAGATGCTCCTGGCAAAAGAATCTTAGCTTCGAATAAATGCCCTCTGATTTTTACCGTATTATTCCTTTAAAAAAGGTCGCACTTGGCGTAGCGGTTGGAGGTACCCTGCAATACACACTCGGAATCGATCTCAGCGTCCATGGCCCACCAAGCCTTTCATCCTTCCGGGGTCCGCAAATTGCTACCAGACTTCTCTGGGAGGATAGCAGCACTGGCTCGATACATCGGTAGGCCATTACGAGTCATTGTGAAGGCCAGATATGCATTCAATCACCCCTAAACGATGCTTAATGAATTCGAATGCATGGCGCATCCTTCAGGGATTGATCAACGCCGAGAGCTTTCCTTTTTTAATTATAGTATTATTCCTTAGTTATGTCCGCCAATCAAATTTACCATCACAACAAAGCCTGCGAATTAACTAAACTAATTAAAGCTGGTCTCGAGAACGTCGTCACGTCGAAACGCCATATTATGAGCAAAACAACGTAATTATCGCTCTGGCAATCTCGTCCTATCTGTGAGGGAACTCAGAAAAAAACAATAGAGAAGACTGTTACTGAGAGCTCCAGTATGGTAACCTGTAATCCTGCCAATCATCATCTTGCCAGGACAGGGTGTCGACATTCGCTTCTCTCACGTGTCAAGGGTACACAAGCTAAGTAGGCTTCTGTTTGGTTTAAGTGATGAGAAGACCATTAGGTATTTCGTGTGATGCCGTTTGTGTCTACTCTTTATTAGGTTTCTGACTGGAAATGTCGAACGGCTTATCGGCTTGGATGAGTGCGCTTACTTGAAGAGCACAACACCGAGCGTTATTGTTTTCTTCTGAGGTTTTCCCTGCGTAGGTATCTCGTCAGGTTTTCAATGCACGCACGCAAGCACGTGCATCCACCGCTCTTTGTCCATTAAAGCAGTTACATAATTATTTAACCGCTATTATTATTTATTGCCATATTTGTTTGTTCGTATGAATAGACTCTATATCTTGCACAGAGTACAGACCTTTTTTCCTTCGACTCATGTCCCGCTTCTGCTATTGGTGAAATTTCGTGTCAGCTCGACTGCCAATCACGGTCTTTCTCTTTCTCGTAAATATTATGGAGTTCTGGTCGCATTGTTTCTTTCTGAAATTTTAAATTTGTACTGGAGTGTTTCGAAGTCCATAACACATAGCTTCTGTGAATCGAAGACAACTGTTCCCAGACAAGAATATTACCAACTTTCTAACACCGGAAAGATGAAGCACATGAGTGATCCTAGGCAGCAATTGAGAGACACATTATTATGCTCGAATATCCCACTAAATCTCCACCCATTTCTAGCGTCCTTAGTTACAAAAAGGAAGGTAAGTTTTCCCAGTGCTATAAGTGCGTATAAGCCATCTCCATTATCCATTTGTGTTTTCTAGAATCAAGTGCAATGGCTGAGTTCTTCCGTACGTAAGTAGACCCCATTTAATTGTTATCTCGAGACTCTACCAATAATGACTTCGTAACAATAACCGACTCCGTATCTATCCAACATTTATTCATAAAACACCGACACTATTCCACGTTGTTCAGAATTTTTTTTACTGGTCATTTCTAAACCACGCCTTTACACTACGAGGCGGACAACTGTCACAAGTCCCACGTGGTAATGTTGTGCCTATTTTGTGCTTTTTATTCTTCTTCCACTTTTTCGACGTCCGTCTATAGAGACCATTTTAGGAGGATTAATGCATATTTTGAAGGCTGACGGGATCATATCACTCATTATATGACACAGCGTAGCCTTGTGGTTTTTATGAGGAATTCAAATAACGTGTTCGTTTGTTCTTTCTTATGATGGCTAATTCGTTAGCATGAGTGCATTTGTGCATTACAGAAAAAAAGCATACATAAATTTTTTATCTTTTTTCTTATTTCTTTTTAAGGTACATGTCTTGGTTAGAGCGCGTTTCCGACGAATACAGTCGTGTAGTGCATCCGCCATTAGTGCTGATTTTGTGCATTTCTGGATCAGTCGGACATCTAGTATCGATTACCACCTTGACATCGATGATGAATCCGACTAACGCCTTTCTAATAAGCATGTCATGGTAAGAGTTGAAGAGTTTACTATTGTGTCAGTTTTTAAAACCTTTTTTCTGTAAGTTTTCATTTTCTTCATTCTGTACGGTGGGCAGGCGGTGTGGGGATAATACAGGAATATGGTGGGGTTCGAGACATAGAGGAATTGAATACGGAACCAGTTAAAAAATCTCGTGTGCTAACTGAATTCTTCGTAGCGAACGTTTCTAATTTTTTAAAGCTGTGTCTTAACTAAATAGGAAAGTGAAAAAGGTGAAGCGTTCGCTGTTGATCTACCTTTCCCGGATCCATCATGTATTTGACTGTGTTCGTAGCGACGCAGAGGTGATTGAATGCACACCTGGTCCACACAACGGCTTGCATGGGCTAGCTATAGATCAAGTGTGTCTTAGGTAGATTCAGTACTAACTCGCTAATCTCCGAGAAATAAAAGGTTGGTTAGTTCAGAGTTGTGGGATCGTACCAACGACCAGTGAATCTATATGTTGCAGAGAGCTTCTTACCACTGCACTTCCACCATTCCTACAAGCTATAGTTGAATACTCTCCGTTTGAAGCTAGGAGTTTCTTGTCGGTGGTCGTGAAAAAATCTACCGACAATAGAAAACACAAGGAAGCCTATAATAGTGGTGTTTTGAAAATGTGAAACTTCAATAGAAGTAAGCAGTCCTCTTTCAGGATTGAGGTTTACTTTCACTGAATACAGTAACTGCCTTCAAAACTTTCTTTCTTCCTTGACAGTGAAATTTTTTTCTAAAGAGCAACATCGTAAGCGCTTAGAAAGGTTCTTCTTTCTACACGAACACCTGATCATACCATTTACACTTTTAATATGATAAGTTTTTTAACAGGTGTTTCCAAGGTAATATTAGTTTCCGCAAATTGTAATGAAAAAGATAAATATTCATTGGTAATAGGCGAGATCCATGAATTAAGTTCCCCATACGTCATTCATTTAAGCTGTTACTTCCCTTATAATCGTGATTTATGCACAGCAAGTTATACGGTAATCAGTGTTAACGGTATTTCCTGGCTCTGTTGCCGATTTTGCTGAATATATTTATTTGTTTATCAGTGTTCTTGGCGGCTCGTGTGGCGCAGTGGTAGGAGGTGCACTGCAACACACACATAGGATCGATACTCGCGCCCGTGGCCCACCAAGCCCTGCATATCTCCGGGTTCGGCAAATTGGTACCAAATTTGTTTGGAAGGATAGCAGCACTGACTCGATACATCGACAGGCCACCAAAAGTCATTGTAAAGGCCAGGTATGCATTCAGTCACCTCTAAACGATGCTTTGTGAAGTCGAATGCATGGCACATCCCTCACGGATTGATCAACGCCGAGAACTTCATCCTTTTATCCTTTATGGATGTTTTTCTTTCCAACTGAACTCGTATTTGAATACTCTGAAACCCACATGTTGGACGTGAGAAAACCGTAGCTTAACATGCAGTTTTTTGTTTTTGTTTTTGTTGCTCATGGGTAAAAACTACTAAACGAGTTTTCTATTTTCTACAATTTTTAGTTAAAAACGATAAGACAAAGTTTTTTGAAATTTTTGAATAATTCAAATAAAATAATTTCCAAAGAACACCTAGATGGCAAACGAAAATTGAGACGAAGCACCCCACTGGGCGCACATTGGATACAAAAGCATAGTGGAGACGATTTTGAAGTAAAAGTCAATATCCTTGCACAGGAGTCCAAAATACCAGCGCGAAAACTCCTAGAGGCTTTTTGGATCAATGCCAAAAACCCTACAATGAATAGCAGGGTTGAATGCCCAGAGGTCATACGCAACCTGACCCCGTATGTTCGAATCAATTTTTGATGTGGGATGATGCAGTCGTCAACCACATGCGACTATAATCAGCTGTTCTAAACTTCCTCATTGGAAGTCACGAAAAAGCGGTGGGTTTTTTCGAGTTGTGGATCATGTAATTACCAAAGAGTCTTTCGTCTTTGTGTAAGTGTTATTGAAGTTCCCAGGATCGACTTTCTCTTAACCTCGGCATTGGAATATGAATGTGTCGTTTTCTTGTTCAGCAATCGCGAGGTTTTTAAACAGCATACATTTACTTCCATAAAAACACAATACAATACAACGCTAGCTGACGTTTCGGCAGTATCGCCTTCTTCAGAGCCTGGAAGGGTATACTGATATACAATCTACTAGGCCAAACGCTTCAATAACACAATATGGAAGTCACGAAAAAGCGGTGGGTTTTTCGAGAAGTTGTTGATCGTGTAATTACCAAAGAGTCTTTCGACTTTGTGTAAGGGTTATTGAAGCGTTTGGCCTAGTAGATTGTATATCAGTATACCCTTCCAGGCTCTGAAGAAGGCGATACTGCCGAAACGTCAGCTAGCGTTGTATTGTATTGTGTTTTTATGGAAGTAAATGTATGCTGTTTAAAAACCTCGCGATTGCTGAACAAGAAAACGACACATTCATATTCCAATGCCGAGGTTAAGAGAAAGTCGATCCTGAAAATAATTTCCGTTTATAGCACCCAAATGGTTGTATTCAAGACAATCAGAACATGATTGTTCGTTCTTGTTCATTTTCTTTCGGCGTTAAGAGAGAAAAAGGCCAAAGAGTGAGGGAAAATAGTTTGAAAGACCTCATATTTGCAAATCAAAACTGTGCAGACTTTGTATTTGAAACAAAGAAGCGGGGAAAGTGGTTTTATATTTTCGTTCCTAGATTTTCCACTTTTGGTCTACCGCGGTTCTGTGATTTCCCGGGTTCTCTTTCTCCTCATGTTCTTCACTATTGTATTATTATTATTACTGTTATTACTACTATTACTATTATTATTATTATTATTATTATTATTACTATTATTATTATTATTACTATTATTAGTTTGTAGAACAATTCAATCTCTTCAAAATCGACTCTTTAGTCCTTGACATTCATAAATGTTTTCTTCCGTAAAAAAAGACCTGAAGAAGAAGAACTTGTTGAATGTTTGCGGACGTCGAAGAACTCGGAGACATTTGTTGCTGGGCTTCCGTCTCCGTCTCCGCCTCCGCCTTCGCCTCCATCTCAGCCGCTTCGCCGTCAGCATGTTTGTTTGATGAAGTTATGCTTCTCATAGTTTATGTAGTCAGCTTCGGCCGGGAAACATCAAATGAGCGACAACATTTCAACGTTTAGTGTAGATTATCGAGCAAACAACAATTTTCAGAACCAAGAATTCCGATGAGAAATAGATGGTGGAGAAGGGGAAGGGGTCTCGTTTCCCGACTCGAATTCTTCCATGATTGGCCAACACTTCTGAATGATCAAAAGCAGGCTACTGCAATATCCTGTTTTTCTTGAATTATAGGTAATACTTGCCAGTTCGATAGTCACTTTGTCATTTATTTACTGCTGAATCCTTTTTTTGCACACGACTCGACATCACACATTTTGTCCGGGTACTTCTTTTATTCGGCTCGTTTCCTAGCGACCGTCCTCTACGAAGGTGTACGGACATTTTACGTGGTGATTCCGCTGCTGTTTGAGGATTTTCGTCTTCATTACGAATTTCATAGAACACTGGTAGAGTCAGAACTCTCTGAAGTCCTGCAATAGCCGGGATAGGGCTTTCCTACTTGGATTCGAACGAGTGACCAATTCGCAGATATATTCACTATCAATTTCCTGATCTAGTAGGGATGATAGGCCTGGTGAAGTAGAACCGTCGCTTGGGTAGGTTGGGCCGTCCGCGTAATGAACGGGATGGTTACCACTGCTACCACCCGCTACCCGCTACTCACTATTATTACTACTTTCAATAATTATTACTGGTGTTTACCATCATTATTATCTACCTTTCTTATTATTATTATTGATTTTTTCATCCTATTAATGTTGCTTATTAATTATTGGTTATTGTTGTTATTATTTATTATTGCTATTTATACTTGTTCAGGCAGCTCACGACTACTGATTAGATGTGTCCTATTGTTAGTGGAAAAGAATAATCCATCGATAAACGGCTAAGAAGAACGAGACAATTCGTATACGATGGGGCATTTCAAATCAATTTCTATCAGCTCTCAGATTAAGGAAGGCTTGGCCAAGGATTACAAGTTGCCTGCCGAAACCATTAAAAGTTAAGCCCAACAAGCTTCAGTTTTCAATCGTGAAATTGGGACTCCATAGTTGTCCGCTACCAACGAGGAATCGCTCAAAAACAGAAGAGAACTGAAGCTTGATTTTCCGCAGTATATCTAACAGTAGATGCCAGCTGTACAAGATCTACAAGATGGTCTACGTTTTTTTCATTCTCCTGTGTTTTCTCATTTCCTAAACATTGTTTTCACGGATAATAAGCCATCCTTTTAAAATACTTAATATTCTTTTTTCAATGTTCTTGATGGAACTCATGCTGGCCTCTTACAATGTAAGCAACTAATCTTGGACAGAAAAAAATGATAGGCGTACCTATGAAGAAAGCTGAAGAAAAGTACTGTATTTTTTGACAGTGACGAGGATATTGAAGAACGAGGGTAAAATAGACAAAGGGAAGAAAGTTGGCGTCATTGACCTCCAAAAGGGTTGCTTGTTTGTGCTTCTGTAGCAGTTTATCTACCAGGTTTTAAGTGGTAGCATTTTTTTAAAGTGACTGCAAAGGAACATTCTCTAGGTGTTTAATAATTAAATAACCTAAATGAAATTCTATATTCTTCTGTGAAGTCTACTTTTGGAGCCATATTTTGAGAGATGGATATTTCTCAAACAGGAAATTGCTAAGGCCATTGGTTTCCCATTTGCAGATCGGGTTCTAGGACACGAGAAACGCACTGTTTAGAGATATCATGCAGTAATTCTCAAATGTTTGGTTGTTCGACCGCGCTCCATGCTAATCAGGCCTTTAATCCCTTATTTGGCAAACTAGTGCCAGATTTATCTGCGAAAAGCTTCCTCGAATCCATAAAGGTCAGCGACTGCCTATGGTGAGGTCTTCGCTATGACAGAACTATCTCAAGATAACAGAGAGACACAACTGCAACAGCAAGCAACGACAACCATGAAAAAGGCCAAAGTACTTGAGAAATAGCTGAACCCACATGCAAAACCAAAACCTCCTTGGAAGACAGATAGACAAAGAACAAAGTACAAAGCTTTCGGCGTTGATCAATCCCTGAGGGATGCGCCATGCATTCGACTTCACTAAGCATCGTTTCGAGGTGATCGAATGCATATCTCGCGTTTACAATGACTCGCGATGGCCTACCGATGTATTGAACCAATGTTGCTATCCTTCCAGACAAGTTTGGTACCAATTGCCGACCCCAGAGGGATGGAAGGTGTGGTGAGCCGTGGACACGGGGATCGATTCCGCGTATGTGTTGCAGGACGCCTCCGACCACTGCACCACACGCGCCCGATGACAGATGAGAATGAACAAATCGAGCGAAAGATGGACTTTCTATACACCGCGGCACTGAATTATAATTGCGTCGTTTTGGTTTTCAGCAAACGCCAGGTCGTTATACATTATATGTTTATTTTTACGCAAGAAACACATGCAACGCAGCAGTAGCTGACCTCTCGGCAGTATCGCCTTCTTCGGAACCATTTTTTACGTGACTTCCACTGAGGAAGAAAAGAGCAGATGCTCAGTCATCAACCACATGCTACTGTAATCAGCTGTTTTTTTCTTCCTCAGTGGAAGCCATGTAAAAAGCGCCTCTGAAGAAGGCGATACTGCGGAAACGCCAGCTACTGTTGTATTGTATGTTTCTGTAGAGACGTAAACGTATACTGTATAACACCCTCGTTGTTGCTGAACAAGAAAACGATGCACTTGTAATCGAACGGAAGAATTGCTGAGTTACGGAGAATGTGATTTGGGTCATGCGAAATAAGCACGAAAGTATCTGTATAAGAGACTAAAGTGCAGAAAACGAGGTGATTAAAGAAATGATTTTCGTTTTTTCGATGACTTTAAATTCTCCGACGGTAAAGCTTGTAGATCTTATAGCAAGCAATTTCGTTTAATGGGACTGTTTTAGACAATAGAAGAGAATCGCTCGCGGTACATTCGTTGACGACTGGTTGATTGTTCTGTATGCACTAAGTTAAGTGAACGAAGAGTAACTCCAGCTGTTTATTTCGTTGTAAAGAGTTCATTTCTATTCCTTCCGTATTTGTTCGATACCTTAACCATCGTGGTTGGTGTGCCATACGTGCCTAATGAAAGACCGTTCTCTCCATTTAACAATTTGCAAAATACCATTTTCTCGAAGGTGGCGTGGCCCATAGTGAGGGTAGGGAAAACACAGGCTTAATCCTAAGCGATTTGTTTTTCATGCGAGATTTGAATTTGACTGAAAGATAAGCTACGTTTGTCTTAAGCTGCACTCATAGTCGTCTCCGTTGTTGTTGTCTTTGTAAGCTAAGCTTTTAAGTGCACTAGTCACATGAGTGGATAAGCTGTTTTGCACTTAAGCATCATCAGTAGTACATAATGTGACTAGTCTGTTTGCTTGAACGTTATATACATGATTGCGGTAGCTCTGTGGGTCAATTAGAAAATCAGAATATCTTATCCTATTCCATGTAATCCATATGCAGAGAACATCTTCACATTGCGGTAGAGTTTCATAGTCCTTCTCTCAAATCTATGCATATCACACCTAAGTAGTTCAGTTCTTATCGTTTAGCGCTGAGATTACAGCGGCGCTACTATACAAACATGGTCATTGGTTCGATCGAGCAGCTGGGATAAACTGATTCCTCCATCCTAAGTTGGCACTAGAATTGTCTGAAAGGATAAAAATCCAGATGTGACATATCGATGGACCTATGCAAGTCATTATATAGGCTAAATATGCATTCAATCACCTCTACGACACTACGAATGGCCTTCAAGGAATCTTGGTTTTCCAAGAGATTAATCAAAGATGGAAGCTTTATTTCTTTTTACTGTTGTTTATTACAAAAGATTAGAATAAAACAGCATCGTCAGCGGTTTTCTTCTATGCATAATAACAAATAGTTTTGGTTAGAAAGGAGAAGATACGGAAAACTAAGACGAGAAGGATTAGCGATGTTGTTGATCTCATAGGATAAAACGATGGAAGCCGATCATATTCGGATTAAATAAATCTGTTTGCTCTTTAAAAAATTATAGATTTCTTCGGAAAAGTGACTCCTATAAACCTATAATAAACTTAGATAATCTTAGATTATTGTCGAAAACCTCTTAGACGATTAATTTCCTCCACGTTTCTTCTTTTATTGGTCTGAAATATCACAATGAATCCGCACCAGAATATCAAATCCTCATTTTTTCCTTTTTCATTCCTTGAAGCCATAACCATTTATATTTTCTCAGTTTATTCATGCTTTTTTTCCTCTTTGACTTTCATCGCTGCTTTCCATTAGTCATTAAAATCAATTATCTTCACGATTAATGAGAGTCAGTGGAATATTTGTGATAAGGAGAACAACCGCAGAAATTACGACAGTCGTAGAAGCCTCATTTACAAAGAGAACTGATATGTTACAAGTGAAACAAAACGAGTTGTTTCTATCGTTTTTCGACAGCGAAAGATTCATCGTGGCTGTGGGAAGGAGGGAGGTGGTTTTCGAGGCCGTTAGATGTACAACAGGGGTTTTTCACTCCAGCAATGTCTCCCAAAACGAGAAGTTTAATATTTTCATCGGGAAGGATAACTAAGAGCCAACTTGTCCAGTTAGGAATCTGAGATTATATTCGCTGGAACCGTGTGGTTTCTTGTGGCTCATAAAGACAGATTAGCATTTAGTTTTTTAACGAAGTCGGCTTTTTTCACTTGAATCTGAATGAATTCAAAAATTTTTAAGCTCAGTGTTCCCATAATGAAACATGACTCTTTAAGTTGTAAATATTCCAGTTTAATGATTTTAGTCGGCGCTTTTATTTCAATCAGAAGCGTTGTAGATCAATGGAACTAATCAATAGAGAGTACGGCATCGAACTTTCATGAGGAGGTCGAGAAACCGACTAAGCAGCTACTATTCTTTAGCCAATAGCTCATCAATCAATATATATCGACTTTTCAGCTCACAACTCGCGTTATGTGCTAATTTCCTCTATTCGACTTTGTTCAAATGGGCATCGGACGAATTATGTATACCGCTTTTCTTTTCCTATTATATGGTTAAAACAATGCATATTTCTGTCACATTATCGGTTCTCGTACACATGGCTGGGGTGAGTATTGATCGATTATTGATTCAAAACGTTTTTTGTTATTTGCACATAAAATGTCCATGAATTCTCTTATATGATATTATTGTACAATTTTGTTGTGAGATGAAAATTACCAATTAATTCATCAATTTTATCAAGTCGGTAAGTCCCATTGTTGGTTCTAGTTCATATAGTCGGAGTGAGTATTGATCGATTGTTGAGCGGAGCTCTACATTTTTTATCTACACAAAAACCTTTCATCACAAGAATTCCTTCGTTCGATCCTACTTTTAAATTATTTTTATTATTTTGTTATCTCGCTAGTTAGCGTTCCCAGCGATTCAAATACTTCAGTGCTACCTATTGAATTTTATTTCAGGTATTCCATGTTGTTGCTCTTTCAATTATTCGATGTTGTTCATTATCAAGATTGGCGAATATTAACTCATCGCAGCAATGGTTTACCTATCAGGTGATCATTTATTGATATTTTGTTAAAGACTGTCAAAACCACAGCGATGCTGAGATATTCACAAAACTTGAACCACGGGCTAGATTGAACCACGATTATGCTAACCGGGGTCTCGAGTGCTACACACTGCATCACGGACGCCCTTGCTCTACGTTTCCCTGAGCAAGTTTTTTACCTAACGCTAACATCAGGAATCACCAATCGGTGGGATTAATAGAAGTGATCGTCTGTATCAGCACTTCCTAGTCTTTTAATGATGCCGAAACTATTTATTATTGAAACTATTTACTGAAACACTACAAGAAAGGGGCCGGGCCACCAAAATCTGAGGAGTTGAACATTACCTTGCGGAAGCTGGCAGCTAAAAGCGAAAGTAAAACAAATGCGTAGCGGTAGAAAAGAAGCACTCATAAAGGAGGTAGAATGACGAATTTATTGATGTGTGCTGAACTTCGTGCATTATTCCATAGATTCCATATGAAGAAACTCGTCCCGATATTAGTCACGATCCACTGAACTATCGCTCATTTCTTTCGAATGGGATAAATATGGGCCGAAAGTGAATAAAGCATTAATAGTGGTGAATTCAGGAGTTCAGCTTCTTCCCCGCCTTAGATAACGTTTAGAAATGACTTTTTTGTTTACATGACTTAACTTGCATATTGTTCGGCTCCTAGACCCTCTTTCATTCGGTTTATTACTTCGCATTTCCGTAATCCATGGTTCCCACTACCAGAAGATTTTGAGCTTTCTTCTGAATGTCGTCGAATGCTGGTTGAATTGATTCTTCCTGAAATCTTAGGAAAGTTCTGCTAGGGCGTTCTTCAGGTCTTACCACAGTGACAGTCCCCTATCTTCCAGGAGAATGAGGACACTTTTCTTTTTTCAGAAATGTCGAATAGCACTGGTGATTATCTTCGTTAGTGTCGCCGTTATCGGTATCCCGTTACATTTCACATCAAAAGTGGTTATGGTGAGCGATCATTGCTTTTTCAGTAGATTTTCGACATTAGAAGTTCTACCAATGAAAATAGAAGAATTCTTGGAGCAATTAAAGTTGTAATAAAAGCTTTCCATCTCTGAGGAAATATTACATAATCTTTGATTTCACATCCCGTGCAATAAAAAATCGACTCATATCGATTCAGCAATCGACTTTATAAGATAAACGAATTCTTCAGATATGTCAGAACAGATTTTATTTGGACACTTGGATATTTGGACAACCCGTCCACGCTGGTTGAGCGAATCCTACAATATTCTCCATTTTTCGGAACTTAGCTGGTTTAGCCATTGTGTTTCCCTGGAAACCCGAGGACAGCCTGGCCAATGTCTGTGTTTGCCCCAGGTCGTCACCACCGCAAGCAGTCGCCACCTTTGTGGATCAGAGGAAGATTGGCCACCATGTGAATAGTTTAATACCAGGACGGTGGGTGATCCTGATATTGGCTTACTCTTCGCTGGGCTTCCTGATGGAGACGCCGGTCTCCTTCTCAGCTTGGGAGACCTTGCCGGTGGAATGAATCGCGCCGTTGTACATCGGAGCCCGGCACCCAGGAAAACCACCCAGCCACGATGAAGCGGTGAACCGTTGGAAGAAAACAATTTTAATTGGGTTTTTTATTCTTTCATTCTTTGACTTAGCGCTATTTTTTAAAATTTCACTTTATAGTGTGAGTGTGAACCATGAAGATCTAATTTATTGACAACATTAGTTCGATTTTCAGGTGGATGAAAACGAGAGCTGCGCAGTTCGTTATCCGGTGCTACGTAACGCCACTGCGTACCAGTTACAGTTCTCGTCTTTTCCGTACTTGCATACACTGAACTTTTGGTTGTTCAACTTCTGCTCTAAAATCATTCCATCGGTGTGTTACTACAGCAGTAAATCATTTAACGATTGCTAGAGCTCTTGTAGTGCGGTGGTTCGAGGTGGTCCATAATGCGTATGTTGTCACTGTGTCGATCCAACTCCCTCTGTCCTTTGAAGGTCAGCAAATTGATGCCAGACTTATATATGAAAAGCTTTCTCTGATCTAGAGAGAGACCGGCTACTGATTGTGACAATTTTGGCAATAAGCAACAGTTAAGATTAGAACCAAATTTACTTAGTTCATAAATAACCTCTCTTTGCACTGCGCTACATTATCCCACTCTTAATTTTAATCCTCCTATCATAATTCATGATGATAAACGATATCGTAGTCAAAATATCTGAGATTACCGACGTTTCATTTTTTTCAATTTTTTTCTTTTCTCATTCTTCTTCCTTTTCCTCCATCTTTCCTTTATTTGTCTTAGATAAGTATTATTGTTGTTCTTTTTTTACTTCAGATTATCTTATGTGTGATGACGTTTCTTATTCTTAATCAGTTGAAGCAAATTCAACAACTGAGTGCTCGATTTATGAACGTCAAACGAGACAAACAACATCAACAAACAACAAAAATGATTTTGGTAAGTGATGAAATATTTTTCAAGAACTTCTTCCTTGTTTTAATATTTTATTTTTAAATAATTACACGGACCAAATTCTTCAGACGTATTCTTTTCATTCAGTGAATACTGAATTAAAAAATGCACCGTAAAAAATTCAGCGAATAAGCGTCAATTTTGCTAATCAATAGGGAAATTGCTTTGCGGAGGTTACGCTTTAATTGACGCCGTATTTTTCTTTCATACAATGTGTTTTCAAGGAATCACTGGGCCTTTCGTGTTTGTCTTCATGAGATGATAGCGCTTTTCAGACAAAAAATGAGAAATTGTCGCTTCAAAAAATGATGAATCAATATTGACACCTACTCTAATATTTATACTATCCGTTCTTAAACTAAAAGCGGCCCCGCTAAAACTTTTTCGATCCATGTCATTCCGTTGTATAGCTACGCCCACCATTCATACAGCTGTCATGATTTTCTCTCCTCATCGAAACACCGAAGGCCAGCTGATCCTGGGTTTCCCTGGAATCCCGAGATAGTCGTGTTCGGGCGTTCCTAGGTTATGAGCTCGGGTATTCATCAGCCTAAATGAGTACGTGGAAATTTTGTTGTCTTGCGTATAGCGCTAGTCAACCTACGGTGAAAATTCAATAAATATTTTAGTTCCAGAAGTGAGCATGGGTTTGGAAAACCAGTAGAAAAAAATGTGGTAGCAAGTGAAAACAAGCAAATAGTTGCTAACATCACATTGTTTGACGAATGCACGAGAGTAAATTTGGATGAACCTAGAAGATGCAGCGTAACATAGTACTTGGTTATAGTATAGTACTACAAACTCATTAGTGTGAAAGCAAATGCCATGTAGACATCAAATTCTTGTGATAGCAGTAGGTCCAGCCTCTGACATGATTACTTAAGTCCCAAAAGAGTTCAATATTTTCATCCAAAATCCAGGTAGGAATAGCCCAAAGCAAGATGTTACTCCACTTTCGCCTCGGAGTAATCATCGTTGGCTGTTGGGAAACTTTCGATTCAGTAAGGATTGACAACTACCTAAAGGTGGATGAGACAAACAGGAACGAAATGGGACGAATATCTCAATTTTCCAAGGAGAACCTACTGCTCAGGAAAAGAAACCCACTCATCAACGAATTACTGGGAAGAGAAAATTATCCTGTGAGTCCTGCTCTAGTTGCCAGTACAGGATTAAATTTGTTTACATTCATAATTCCCTCACATTTCGTCAGATAAACGTAGCTCGATTTTACGTTTGTACTCGTTTAATAGAGAACATATACAAGAAATCATTATTTATTTTATTCTTGAAAAAATACAGGTGACTACTACTTCCCTTCTCTTTCCACCTTTCATTTCCACATTCTCAACTTTTCTGGAATATTGATTCCATTTTCAGATTATTATGTTCGTCTTTATCATCGTTGAGCTACCACAAGGTCTACTAGCTGTATTGTCTACAGTAACCGATCTTCAGTTAATCGCCGCCTTAGGTGAGAAGTAGGACTAGCCAGACTCGATGAAGAGAAACATCATAGATATTATAGTTAAATTATAGTAGGCAGAAAATAAAAAGGTATAACATTGTGATTTCAACTACAGCCGCAGCATAACTGGGTTCTATGCCGATTTGGGCGCCCAGATCAATCCCGCCGACGGGCGATTGCTGTGGCAAAAGATCGATAGAAATAGCTGAGAGACAGGCGAAACAAAGGACCCACATGGTGTGGTGGTGAACGCGTTACTCCACGGAAAGCACAATAGTGCGTTCGTTCCCCACCATAGACACCTGCGGTCCAGAGTTTTGCAAATATCTCAGCAACGTTGTGGTTGTATTTCGCTTAGTACCCTGCCGAGAAATTATAGTAGGCAGAGAATAAAAAGGTATAACATCATAGATATTATTGCAATCAGAAGTAACTGACGATGAGTTACAAAAGTTTCCCAAGAGCGCATTAAAGCTCGTCCATGCTTGTAAACACTCCCTCATCAAAAACTGGTGATGATTTACGATGGTTTCCCAAGGGCAGCATAACATCTTGTGCATGAACAAAGCTACGCAGTAAGTAAAGCTGGTGATGATTTACGAGTACCTCCTAAAGGGTCTGCATGAGGTCTGGCCTATGGACTGAGCTGTGCACTCAGGGAAGTTGTCAATTTAGAGAAAAGTTGAACCCTTTCTTAAATGCGTATTTAGTGTTTAGACATACGTCATCTGCCGTTGATAAAATGAGGTTAGCGTATTAAGTCGTCATGAAGTAACAAATTCCTTTCGTTTTTTCTTCTCGAAGGCTATCAGTAAACAAAACAGTCTGAGAGTAGGAATCCATAGAAATAAATAATTTGCGACTAAGACAAAAGTTGGAAAACAGCAATAGATCCCTGAAGTAATAAAAGAGATCGCCTGTATCATCGCTTGTTTTGTTTTTAATGATTAAGTCTTCCGAACAGGTATCAGCACAGTTTACAGTTGTCTCTACTGCTCGCCGAACTAATTTCACGGACTCCATCTTTTCAGCCGACACGGATAAGACAGAAATTTCACTTTGAAGCGCCTTTTTAAGCCCTTTGGCGAAAAGATAGTCACGGCCTTTGGGTTTATACCATCGTCCTTAAGCCATCTTTATAGTAAATGCTGTCAACAGAATCTCTATCGTGCTCAAAGAATGCGAACTACAAAGAAGCAACCGTGGATCCGACCTACGAAGGTCGTCGGCTACATGGGCAGCACTAAGAAACATTATACTGCACCTATTCCCGTACTTTAGCGTGCCTACACGATATGGCTATTTAAGCGCGCATCCACGAGTAACTTATTTGGCCTTGTTCTAGCATTTTTGTTCATAGTTGCGTTCCTCGTTTTCTGTCCCGCAATCTCGAGCTAGACCCTAACTTATGACATTTCACTAGATGGATCAATAGCGAGAAAAACACCTCTATATCAATGTTCAGTACTAAAGAATGCCTCAGTCTAATCTACGTTGACAGATTTAAGTCAGTAAGAAGAGTAAAAATAATGGACCAGATAAAGGATTTAGATTAGGAGAATATAAGCCGTCTGAATGCCTATCGAATTTCTCGTTGAACTCTAGGTGATTTCACAGAAATGATCACCTTACTGACGTCATGTGTTATTTTTGCATTATTCTGTCTAATGAATGGTAAAATTCGATCAGCCTTCATGGAGGCGCCTTGTCTTCGATGGTTAGAGAAGTGGGTACGAACAATTATCGAACGTAGGTTCGTTCCTTTATCACATTGCTTAAGAACTTTTATTATATGTTAGTATTATTATCGAAGCTAGAAATGAAATTTTCAATATATTCGAATATTTATCGAATAATCTGTCTTAATTTTTTTGCATAAGTGTAACTAAATATAGCAACGCAGCGGTGAGGAGTGCTTTGAAGAGTACCCTTTCACAAACATTTGGTCATAGGTTCGACCTCGTATTCCAAACTAACTATGCCCTTTATCATCCCGGAGCAGGAAAATTGGTATCGGACCTGTCCATAGTGATAAAAACACAAACTTTACTTATTTCCAAGCCCCTCAACTCGTTTTGTAGGCGAAATGTGCATTAAGTTATCTTTTCGACGATACGAATTGACTCAGGTCGTTGACTAATGCCCAAAGAAATTGAGCAACACTGGATGTTTTGTCCGTTACTCTTAAAATAAAAAAATAAAGCTCTCGGATTTGATCAGCTCTTGAGGGATGAGCATGCATTCGCCTTCATCAAGCACCGTTAAAGGTGACTGAATACATATCTAGCTTATAAATGACTCACGATGACCTAACGATGTATCCAGTCAGTACTGCCATGTTTGTTGCCATAGCTGGTAACAATTTGTCCACCCCGGAGAGATGGAAGGCTTGATGAGCCTAGGGAGAGGGGTCGAACCTACGTGCAATAAAGGGCACCCCTAACCAATGCGCTACACGCGCCCCCTTTATCCTTAGCCTTTATTGTTAATATAAATACAAGGAAAAAAGTGGAACAGGAAGTAAGGCGGGAAATTCGTTTCTCGGCTTTCTTTCTTTAGTCACCCGAAAACAAACATTAGTGGGTTTTTCCAATTCCTACAATCATGTATCGGCTTCACTTAGATCCGCTTCTTCGTAGTTATACGAACAACATCACTGTGTATGAAATCATTTATTTCTGCTGGATCTAGCAACAAGTTGCACACGAACAACTTGTTAAACTTCACTATTTGAACTTGTTCTATTCCATCGAGCAGTTTTTCAATACGCTCTGATGTAGAAATAGTTTTTAATTGTTGAGGTAACGCCAAACCTCCACCGGTATTTTTCCTGATAACCTGAGGTTTTTAAATAATCCGGTATGCCTCACAAAATTCGCATACTTGCAAAAAACATTTTTCTATGCATCCATGAACATTCGGGTTGATTTCCATCTCCTCCAGAACACCTGGCGCAGATAGAAATCGGTCTGACCCATCAGAAGCAGGCGATTGGCCCATGAATCAGTCAATCCAACCTTTTGTGGTAACGAGTGGTCATAGCCACTTTTCGATCTCGTTTATATTCTTTACGACCAACTAGAACGCGATCCGTCAAAGGTCTGTAGATTTTGAGAAAACTTGAATATTAGAGTGGTCGTACTTCACCAAGATCAATCAATAATCCCACTACTGTTTCCATGTGACTCGCAATTTTCTGAGGTTGCACAAGTTTTTCTTTCGCTGAAATCTTGAGACGTGGACTCTTGGTACCTTTCGCGTCGTCACCATGGGCTGTCACATCCCCTATCGATATGATCGGCCTTCGTGGATACCGTCGGCTTTATCCAAAGTCGAAAACGTTTGACAGCAAGTCAATCAGCGAAAAATTTGGCGATTCTGAAATTCATTTTTTCAAACGGACAAATTTTCCTAAATACGAAATCCTTGCTTTCAGTGAGAAATATCGATTTTTCAGAATTGCTCACAACGTTGGACAGGAAAAGTTGCTGGATTTCTCGATCACCAGTAGGACGACGATGGGCACACCTCGTAACTATGAAACTTTATAAAGCGAATACAACTCTTATTCTTCGTTATCCATTTATTGATCGGGTTCATATCGATTCATATCGATTTATTTATCCATGTGTTTGCATGCTGTCAGCTCATGGGTTCGCTACAGTTTTCATTGATTATTAGACGTTGATGAATATGCGGCTGAGTTTTATCTACAATCAAAGTAATTTGTTCGATAAAAAGTTCGAAATTATTGTTCAAATAATCACTGGACGTAGGAAGTAGAATGGTTAGAGATGCTGCGCAATATAGTCATGTTCTATAGTTCGACTTCATACCGGGTGAACCAAGCTTACCATCTCCTCAGGGTCGACAAACTCGTACCAGACTTCTTTGGACAAAGCTTCTTATAATGCACAAAGGGTGGCAAATACCTGTGGTGAACACTGAGGAATGTTCCAGTAGGTACACCATTTCTTAAAACCAATAGATTTCATCCATTATATAAGTTCGATCTGTTAGTTAACTTTAAAAGTCAGACCCCCACCATAGGTGGTAATCAGTGTGTAATGGAGACTTTTGAACCTAACGGCTTTCTATTAGGATTTCAACAAAAGAAAATCTCTTGACCAATATTTGAAATGTCAGTGAACAGAGAAGGCGACAGGTCTTTAAGTCAATGTTGATGACGGATAGCGTAGGTGAACGCATAGGTTAGAGGTGCCCAGGAAATCAAGCATAGTCACTGGCTCGATACTATGTTCTGGTCTCATCAAGCATTCCACATCTTTAAGGTAGGCAAATTAGTACAATAACTGACAAGGAAGACGGAAATGGTGTCTTTTTACTCCTGTAGGCCTTGTAAGTCACTGATTAGGTCAAACATGTGCGTTCAATCACCGCCACAACTCCACAAAGTTTATCGCCGTCGTATATTAAAAGTATAGGAGACTGCATCTCTTAGGGAATTATTAATCCGAATGCTTTAGCCTCAATGGGTCGTTCGCAGCAGTCCAGTAGACTTTAGAGAGGCACTAGAACTGTTATTAGGTTGTTCGGAAATAGATGGGCGTTTTAAAATATTTGTTGTCTTGGTGCATTTTTTAGCCAAAAATATTTTTTGCACCTAGCAATATTTAATACCAATTACCGTATTTTTATGCTTTGTTAAAAACTGAATTTTTACTAATTTTTAGCCTAGCAATTTTGAATGTAAAAAACGATTTTTTGCCAAATTTTCGTTTACGAGGTTCAAACTCGACCGTAGTGCAGCAGAGACGGCTCGAAACATTAACGAAGTTTAGAGTAGTGTTAGATCGACAGTGCGAATATGGTTCTGGAAATTCCAATATGGTGATCTTAACCTCGAGGATAAGGAAGGCCGTGGTCGTCCCAATGAACATGACGGCGACGAATTGAAGGTACTAGTGGAAACAAACACGCAAACCACTGCTCGAGAGCTTACAGAACAGCTTGGTGTAAGCACAGGAATAATTTCCACTCATCTGAATTGCATAGGAAAAACAAAATACTCGATAAGAGGATGTTGCACTAATTAAACGATAATCAAAAAAGTCTCCGTTCTGTAGTTTTGTCTACTCTTATTCTGAGCAACAAAAACGACCCTTCTCTCGATCCACTTGTGACGTACTACACGCATCGGATTCTAACGACAACCGGCGACGTTCAGCTCAATAACTGGAATGTGATAAGGCTCCGCAGCACTTCCCAAAGCCGTGATTGCACTAGAAAAAGGTTATGGTGGCTGTTTGATGGCCTGCAAGCAGGCTGATTCACTACAGCCTTTTGAATCCGGGCGAAGCGATGACGGCAGAGAAGTGTTGCCAACAAATCGACGAAATGCACCGTAAACTCCAACAACAACGACCGGCATTAGTCAGCAAAACAAAGCCAATCCTTCTCAACAACAACCCCACGCCTCACGTTGCGAAACGAGCGCTACAGAAGTTGAACGAGTTGGGCTGCGAAACTTTGTCTCACGCGCCATATTCACAGACCTCTCGCGTACCGATTATCATTTCTTTAAGCACCTTGACAATTTCCTGCGAGAGAAATGCTTCAGCAACCACGATGGCGCAAAAGTGCCTTCAGCGAATTCATCGTTTCCAGGACCCCAGAATTTTATGTAACTGGGAAAATAAACGTGTTTATCGCTGACAAAAATGTGAAGATTTAAATGGTTTTTATTTCGATTAATAAAGTTTGCTTGAAGCAAGTTATGACATTTTGAATAATATAGTTAAAAACCCTTATTTATTTTTGAACAACCTAATAATAATTCAATGTTTTTCATCAATAAGCAGACTTCAATGTTATCGGCCATGTATTACTCTGTGCGGCGGCTATCCACCAACTAACTTAAATACTTACAACAAATAAACGGCTCTGAAGAAGGCGAAACCGCCGAAACGTCAGCAATTGTGTTCTAATAAATTCTATATTAACAACCTCGTGTCTGCTTATTGATGAAAAACATTGAATTATCAATTAATGCCGAGGTTAACAGAAAGTCGGTCTTGGGAACCTAATAATAATTTTAACTTATTATTTACTGCCTACTCTTTTTAACGGCATGGTATACATTGTGAAATATAACTTCAATGATGCTAAGATATTTGCAAAACTCCAGACCGCAGGTGTCGGTGGGGAACGAACGCGTTATTGTCCTTTCCGGAGAGTAACGCGTTCACCACCACCACACCATGCGGGTCCTTCGTTTCGCCTGTCTCTCAGTTAGTTCTATCGATCTCTGCCATCAGCTATCACCCGTCAGCGGAATTGATCTGTCGGCAATGAGCCCAGTTAAGCTGAGGCCTTCAGTTATAATCACCCGTTACTCCCCGGAAAGGGCACGGTCGTTCTCCACCGCAGACACCTGCGGTCCGGAGTTTTGCAAACACCTCAGCATCATTGAAACGTGAAAAGTCTCATTTTCTGGTAGTTAGAAGGATAATAGTGAAAGATGAGCGAAAAAGTAAGTCTGGACAAGCTGGTTATATTGAGTGCTGTTCACCATTCATCACATTAACCATCGTCGTTTGACTAACCGGACAACGTTCACCTCAATACAAGCTTATAAAAATGCAGCTGGTAAAATGAACGTTCTCAAGTCACACATCTAAAGTCATTTTCGCTTTCAAAGGTTTTCTCAAAAAAACTCCCTTCCTTCTTTTTCGACAATTGTCGATTTACGCTAGATATACTAACACACGACTGGAATGAAGCTGACCGTCTCATATATAGGTAACTTGTTCCATTGCCACCTTTATGAAAGGGGTTTTCGATCGACCTTGCTTGCTGAAAGACCAACTTTTGTTAATCTTAACATCGACTGCGGTAATTTCACACATTCGTTATTGACACCACCATAAGGAAGTATTGCTCATTTCTTTATTTTTACTCGCTACATATTGTGCTGAGGGGGCGCGTGTGGCGCAGTGATCGGTGGTGCCCTGCAACACACACTTGGAATCGGTCCTTGTGCCCATGGCTCATCAAGTCTTCCTTCCCTCTGGGTTCGACAAATTGGTATCAGACATGTCTGGGAGGATAGCAGCACTGG